ACACGATATAATATATTTTTGATTATCACTATTGATAAAATGGAAATATCTATTGTTAAACAATATGCATTAACATATAAATTTAAATATTTTGAAAAAAGAAGTTTAAAAAAAAGAAGTTATAAATAAAGTTTCTATACTTTGACTTTTAAAAAATATATATCCCATGGCGAACCGTCGATTATGCAGAACTTTACTTAGAAAACTTGTTCGAATCGATCAATCCTCTCTGCACACGTAACCATGAAATTTTAATGGAACTTTCGCTCAGTTCGATAGAATGTTGGAACTGAAAATGTTTGAAGATCAAAAAAGAAATTGTTGAAGGAAAAAATGACCAAATAGGACAAATAGGGAATCTTGTTAAAATTCTATAATAGTCTGTAAATTTCATAATACATATAATTTATTCATTATTTTGAATTGTCATTTTGAATATATTTAATTTTCAAGAAGGATTTAATTATTATTCCGAAATGAAAGTGTCGCGTCACAAGTGAACAAGGGTATGATTATAAATTCTGTAGAGAGCGTAACGAACCGTATTATCACCTTAACATCAAGTATCATGTCGTAAGCTCGTGGTCCGTGTAAAGTTTATGTAATAAATTCAACTTCACCATCCCGCAACAACTCATAAAATATTCAACGATGACCTACAATCTGTTTCATCATTTGAATATCGTGTCACGGACATAACAATATCCACTTCTGCACGGATTTCGTTATGATAATTCATGATTGTTGATATAGATAACAGATTTACCGGGCTGACCATTCATACCGGTTATTAAGTTCGATGTAACTCGAAATATTATCACGCGCTGACGAAATATTTCATCGATATCGGCCCAATTAATCGCCACTTTCTAACTAAGTTCAGAAATATTCCAAATATCTCGATAATTTGAGGAAACAAAATTAATATGAATATTTTCCATTTTTCCATTACTCTTATTTTCTTCATAGCTTACTAAAAGGGTGTCTACTATGTTTTTAATGATACAAGAGATTTATAAATCAAAATTTGAAGAAAAAATTCTTATTTTTATTTTTTTTAAAGTGTATTTTATTCTATCATTTGATATTAAAATATACAATTTTTAACTTTCAAAATCACAAAAAATTACTCTCATAACTTTAATCGAATAAATTCACAAAATAATCTACATGACAGAAAAATAATTAATCTATGTGCTTTTAAATTTATAAAATAATTAATTCTCAGCTTTCGAATTTATAAATTTACGTTCCACAAATTTATTAATATAAATACAATACGATAAAACAACAAAGTTACATATTCATCATAATAAAGATAAATTTATTCAAAATATATAAATGATGTATAATTCTCATTATTAAATAAGACAACAATAAGAGAACAAATAAAAATAACGAACGACAAAGTTACAAAAAGACGACGATTAATCAATGATAACGATTTATCGTAAACGTAAGATTGACACATCAAAACGAAATTTAAATTTTCGTAATAAGAACAAAGTTCCTTTTTTGATAGCCTTTATGCGCGCTTAATGTTCCAATGTTGGAATCGACGTATTGCCAAGGAGGCTGGCTAAAAGTGCAAAGGTACGTACGGCGATAGGAAAGGGAGGGGTTAAAAAGAAAAAAAAAAAAAAAAAGTAAAAAGGAAGAAAAAAAAGATTGACCAGAGGAATTTGTAGTTGGAAGAATACAGAAGATATCTTTGGTATAGATCTGGCCACGGGTGACAATGGCGGCCACAGCTATTGGCCCGTTTCACAAGCACGGTCCATATCAATACTCCTTTGTTGCACATGACTGAGTCCGGGATAAAATCCTCTCTTTCTCTCTTTCTTTGTACCTCCTCCTATTTTCTTCGTGAAGGCAGAAAGCCGAGAAATAATGCGCAAACTTCTACGGACGAAATCCTTTGGAAAAATATTTCTTACGCTTCTATGGAACACTTGGAGCGTGCCGATGCGTTTTTGTTCGGAACGTTATACTTTCGACTGTGCGCCCTCTGGTTGTCTGACTCTGAAACAATAGGGATTTCCAACGGCATGATGTTTCCTCTTCCTTTTATTAAGTTTATAAATATATTACTTGGGGTATTGTCTGTAATAATAATTGAGGATTATGAGAGTTGAGATGAAATGTTGTGCACTTAGTTTTGTTTTACTTGGTAGGTGAAATTTTGTAGTTTTAGTTTTGGTAATTAAAATAGATAATGAAATAGATATTTTATATGTAAGGATTCTAGTTGTGTGGTTAATACGTATATTATACATAGGAAGGAACAAAATATTGAATGATTCGGTTAATTGTATTTATATAGGTACTAAAAGGAATTATTAAATAGAATTAAATAAAGAAACTGTAAAAAATTGTAATAGAATATTTGATAATAAAAGTAGTAATATAATTTAAATTTTATTTTAATATTTTTTTATATCTGCTAAAAATTTTTCTATTCTTATTATTTATTTTTATTGTTATTCATATTTTCATTTTTCGCTTTCGTGGTTGTTTATATCTATCAATAATAAAAAAGAGATTTAATTTCTTTGAAAAATACAAAAAAAAATTCTTTTTTTTTTTTTTCAGTAAATTTCAATTTAAACATAAAGGAAGATTTCGTTGAATTTTTATTTCCCAGAAATTCGAAATTTGATGTTTGAAAATTCATTTGAATAATGATTACTGCGTACGATTATATCAATATTAAATATTCTAATCGTCATTAGCGATAAAAATTTTTAATATTTGAAAAATACTTTGTAAAAAATTTAAACATAAACATGTTTCTGATTACGTGTTGGTGATTCACGTTTTCCGAGTAACGGAGTCGAATAAATCGCCTCTTTATTTCGTTTCGTGATTCAACTGTGAAATCGCGAGAATTCGCACGGTACGGCAAGCTGTTTTCAAGATAATTCGACATGCGCGCGCGCATTTAATCGAGCTTCGAGAAATAAAAAATGGAAAGAAATTTCTTAGTAAAGTAAGGAATATAAATGTATTTTTAATAAAACTTTTTGAATTCACATTCTTATTTATTTATCGTTATTTATATATTTTATATTTAGTGTTAATAGCGAATTATTGAACCGAATAGCTGATTCAAGAGTTTATCTTTTTGATAAGATATGTTTCGTTATTTTTAGAAAAATATAATTTAAATATATGTATGTGTCCACGCAAAAAAAGCATAAATGCAAAAGTATTGGTTTACATTTTTTTGTCCTTCATGCGCTAAATTACAAAATTTAGAAAATTAAATTTAAAATAATAATTCCAAATTAATACAATTTTATAAATAGGATAGGAAATAATTTTGTATCAAAATATATACGATTGTTTTTTTTAGAAAAAAGTTGATTTTCATATATCCTCAATTTTTTTATCTAAAAAAATTCAATTAATCAAGTATCCTTATATCCCTTTGGAAAAAAGTAAATTTCTATTTATTAGAAATATTTTTTAGAAAATCAAATAGTTTTAATACTACTACGAATGTCTTGTTCAGAATTATACGATGTTTAATTTGAATTAGCTCATCTTTTAGATATTTAAAGATATTTATACACCATAAAATTTAAATTTGGAATATAAGATGAATAATTCAAGATTTGAAAAGTTACAAATAAGAATTTTCAATGTCAAATAATATTGGTAAGATGTTTCTATCTTTTTTATCTCAGCCTTCAGTGAATTCCTAATAAATGTTTGCGTGCATGTAGACAGGATGCACACGATCTTATATCATCTAAGTATCGTCACTGGATAAATAAAACGCAAAATAAAGATGCGAAAACAAAATCGCATGTATAACGCTGAAATATAAATTTATTTTTTAAGAATATTGTTAACAACTGATTTTAAATTTTTTAAATTAGAATAGAAATAGTTAATAGATAGTTTCTTAGATAAAAATTTCTTACATAATTTCTTACATAAAAATAAGCATTTAATCAATGCTGATATCATCAACTGTTGATTGGCATTGAAATATTTTATGCAATTATATAATCCTGATTGATAAATTATTAGCTACTACTATTAGTTAAGAAGATATCTGTCTCCTTAGTTTCTTTATTTCCGGTAATTCATGTCATAGGAGACTTAATTGATATTTTTTTTCTCATTATTATTGAATTCACCTTTCATTATGTCTTGTCAATTGTAGCAATTATAATATATCATCACTAAGGACACTAAAGGACTTAAAAATAAACATTTCAAATTTTCTCTTATTAATTTCATTTATCACGTATCATTAAGTTTCTATATGCGAAAAACTAATTAACAATAATCTGAAAATATTCTCTTACATCATCTAATCACTGTGCATCGCGATCTTCAAGCTTCTTTCACGAAGTATTTTTTGAAGAGTCTCTGTTATTTTTATTTTTTTCGTCATATTTTACAAAGTATCAGAATGATACTTTCACAATTATAATGTATTGATCATTCGATATAAAATAATATTAATTTTTAAAATTCTCGTTATTTCAGATTGAAGAACTCGTAATTCGAAAAAGATCGAGAAACAAACTACCTCAAACGAACATGGCTTTCCACTGTTTCAATGGATATTATTATAAAAATCTTCCTCGATATTCTTCACATTCTTACCAAACCTTCAAACAACAGAATAACACATGTACGTAAAATCTCAATATTGCATTTCATTGCACCCGTTTCAATACGTATTTTCCTATATCTCGTTAATAATAATAGGTTAAGTGTACCAGCACGCGGAAGAAATTCAAGCGTGAAACCACTCGTTACACCATACTATATACTAAATGTTCCTTAATTTCCCAGCAACCATCGGATTTGTGGTTTTTTTCACGGGCCGCTAGAGGAGGCTATTAGCGGCGTGCCAGTGTGTGCACGTTACTCTATTGCATGTGTGTGTAACGTTGCTTAGACACACATACATACACGCATACATACACATACACGGTCGCATTATAATAACCGTGTTACCACAAAGGCGACAACTTACTTGCAGATTAGAAGAAGAAAAGTAGTACTTGAGCGGACTCTTGAGGCGTGCTGGTCTTTACCGTGGCGTGTTAAAGTCGACCGCACATATTTAAAGAGCGGCCGGTAAACTTTGCGAAAGGGAAAACCGTGTGAAAGCTCGCGAACCCCTTTTTTTTTTTTTTTTTTCTTTTTCTTTTCTAGTTACCCCTTCTACTAGGCATGCCAATTCACGTCCAATTAAACGTAATAACGATCCGTTGGCTTTGAACGCGAAAAGAACAACCGCACTTTGGATTACACGTTTTTACATCACGATCGTCGTGAGTGGTTTTTTTTTCTCTCCCTCTCTCTCTTTCTCTCTCTTTTGTAAGGATACTTTTTGGGATGTTTGGAATTAAATTTCGGCTCACGATACTTCAAAAGCTTTGATTTTTTTTTTTCTTTTTTATGCTGATGTGAAGTAATAAAATGGTGATACTTTTGAAATTGTTTTGTAAGTCGAAAAATTTGGATGAAATTTTTGATCTACACGTTTCATCTGTTGAACGAAATTTTTTAATTATAATTGTATAATTCCATATTGATTAAATTATTTGACAATTTAAATGTAATTTTTAACTATTATTTATATAAATATCTTTAAGTTTATAAGATTTCATTATAATGACAATTCCTAAGTTTATATTATTGAACATTATCGCATCTGAATTATTGAATAATTCATCTCGATTCAAACACAATAAGATCTGATTTTTAATTTATATTATCTTCGAGGTTAGTTTATAATAAAAAGTCAATGAACACTTTCACAAATAATATGACAAATAATATTATAATATTATCTCTGTATTGCACAATATTTTTACAAATAGACAGATATTCCACAGATATTTTATCTCCCAAAAGAAATTACTATACTTCACCTAACCTAACAACCACATGGGGACACCGTATAATCCCGTAACCTCGCAAAGCCTCGCATTTTTTCCATTTTCACCGTTCACATTCATTTCAAAGAATAATATTAGAAAAATCGGCTCTGAAGATATGTAGGAACAAATAGCTGACTACACGAATAGATAGCCTAACACGTGATAGTTCTGGGGATAGAATAAGAAAGAGAATTCGATGACAAAGCGGGTCGTGGCAGATAAGAATGATTGGGAAACGGGAGCAGAAATATATCTGGAAAAAGAATTTATCGCGAAACAAGTTGCCGTGGCAAATAACGGAGTGCACTCTTGACCCAATAAGAAATGATACGCTTTGACGAACGAAACCGGGGGATTGGTTACCATCTTCTGGTCATCGTTGTTGCGATTCTCGTCAGATTAATCGCGGTCTTTATACTCGTCTGCCGACGCTATATTGCACTCTATTCCGCGGATTTATTTCGCTTCGCGATATCGACGAGTTATGGTGATCTCATAGTCTCACGGGAGTCGTACCGAAGATACGTGGATCAAGTGTCGTTATTATTTGTTTTCGTTGCGGACGTGGTGTCTTGGTAATGAATAATTATTCAACAACAGAGTTTCGCACCAGTAATTGACATTCGATTTTATAAAGTTTGTTCGAAAAATGTGGATAATTCGTTAGATTTTTTTTTCTTTTTTTTTTTTTGCTTTATATATTGTAACATATATATTGTAGATTGTTTCATAGACGGTGAAAAGTGAAATTTGAGAGAATTTTTTGGAAGCAAATTCGAATATAACTGTGAATGATTTTATATATTTGAATATCAATTGTGAAGATAAATTTAGCGTACAGAGATATATTTAGTGGAAAGTTTGTTAAGAAAATGTTGTCAAAAGGATAAACGGTTTATGTGAATTCTTTTTGCAAAAGAAGTGATTAATTATTTTTTTTATTAATTATTTATCCAATTATCTCATATTTATCTTGTCTAGAAGATTATGGGTTGTGCAAATTTGTAAATTTCATATTCTATTATACAGGTTTCCTTAAAAGTGATCGGCAATTTTAACTTGATATATCGAGAAAAAAAGATTGAGATATAAGAAAAGGATCTTCAATTTTTTCAAATTGAAAAGGTAATCTATATTCAGATTACAGGTTATAATATTGGTTGTTTCACGAATAAACAAACACAAATAGAGAAACGTTACATTCATAATGATATATTTCTATGTCAAGGTTCTCGGTGATATCACAAAGATGAGATTTCAAGTTTATATTCTTCATCTTTGCTTCTTTATGCTTGTTGTGTTGACGTGCCTTTCCCAGGGACAATTCACAGACACAGCAACCACAACCGAGCAGCCTACTTTTCTACAAAAGATCCATGAAGCGTTCAAAAAAGTGAAGGAAAACGTAAAGATTCCTAATTTTCATATTTTCGATCCACCAATTTACACAACAACTACGGAAAAACCAGTAGAATTAATTGAAAATTTTAATATAACGAACAGACAACTCATTACAGTTCCCGTCAGATGTCCTCCCAATTATGACTTCATAAAGGGAAGATGTCGCGAGAAAATTCCATAAATTTTTAATTCCTTCCCCAATTTTTGATATATTATTACTTTTATCAACATATTATTTCAATTATATACTGACATAATATGTAATAAAATACTAATTCTAGTCTCTGTTTTATAAATACCCTTCTATGTTTATGTCGTAGAAATGAACGCAATGTAGGCTAAAAAAATAATTCTTCCTTGTAATAACTTCTTATTAAATAAAAAAAATGTAACAAAATATCGATCAAAATCGATACATTATTACACACACAGAGTTATTACGTTATACGCAATTTCATTTTTGTTTCGAAACCTTACATCCACATAATCGTTTTCCACGATCGTACGATCATCACGTTTGATCATCTCGAGGGAGATTGGCGGCGAGATGCGACGTAATTATCGAACGCTTGTCTCGCGCGAGTTTCGTGGAACTTGACAACAACGGTGTAACTACGAATGGGATGCGAAAGGGGAGAGGAATATCGGGTAGTAGGTCTTACCCGCGGAGGTAACTTTACGAGGGCCGATGAATCTTGCGTGAAATGAAATGTGAAAAACTTATCGAATAAAGGTTCCGTGTAATTTTACGGGGGCCAAGGAATCTTCCGCTAAATGAAATGTGAAATGACCTCTGAATGAAACCTCGTTTCTACTCGAATAAAAGGCTTGATCTACAAAAGTTCTCGCACAGCTGATCCTGAATAATAACGATCGAGTATAATTGGAATTAGAAGAGTTGGTTTTTTTTTTCATTTGTTCGTTAATTTTACTTTTAATTTCAGTTAACAAACGAGCAGAATAATTTTGAGTTCCACGATACGCGAAGGAAGTACACGTCAAGAAATTAATTAACAAAAAAAAAAAAAAAAATAAAATAAAGGCAACGTTACGTAAAATTAATATAACTATCTTATAAGACATGAAAAGTCTTACGTACAAAAAATTGTAACGTAATTTATAATTTATCAATCGTCCATCAATTTGTAAAATTTTTAAAATATTTTCTTAAAATCATATTAATCCATAATCCAATATTACAAAATTCCTCGAGAGAACAACGTTCGACCAATTACCAGTCTCACTCAGGTAAATTAATTCAATTTCGCAGGTTCTCATGTTAGTCACCAGAACGGAGAAGCGCGATACGATCTGATCTGATAGGGATCGAGGCCTCTTGGCAAATGCGACGAAGGCACGAAAGAAATGGCCGAAAATTCCATCGCCGGTCCCGCGCGCGACACTTATCGTAATCGTTCATTAACCAAACACCACTTTTCTCGGCCAATTATCAATTACGATCGTTGCAACTTGATTCATGCTTGTTTCGCGTGACACACGTTTCCGCGAACGTGGCGCAACAAACTTTGAATTAAAATTCCACGATTACACGCCGACAATAATAAATACGTATAGTAAGTAAATGCACACAATACAGTTTTGCACAGTGAATGCATATATATATACATACACGAGATGGAATAGAAAAGAACGGGGAATGAATGAAAGGGGAGCAGCCGAATTTGCGTGATTGCTAATTGTGAACGTAGAACCTTTGGCGACGTACTCTCTCCTCCTTTTCCTCGCTTGTGTTCGCGTATTCAAGTCAGCCAGATTTTGTACTCATTGTCAGAAAGTAAAGACCTCCTCGACACTTGTTGCTCGCCATCGACATTTGTCTGCGCGTTCCACTGTTATATACGCGTGTGCATTTCGCTTTCGTGGTTGCATTCTTTGTCAAGTTATATGTGTAGATACGAATGTACGTATGTACAAAGAAAAAGAGTGAGAAATAGAGAGAGAAAGGGAGAGAAAGAGAGGAAGAGAGAAAGGTAGTTAGGACGAGTTATGATAATACTTACTTGGTACTCTTATTTTCTTTGAATTGTATGACAAATGTATATAAAATAAGTATACATTATTGTTAACTATATGTATATTGTGTCTCTAATTGAAACGATTGTTCGTGTGAAAAAGAGAACTATATATGTATATATATATATATAACAGTGTATACGATGAGCGAGTTTTCCTGCATACAATATTTTATTCTTTTCTTTTGCATTTTTATTTGATCATCAATGAATGCAATTCCTTTTTCGTGTTCGAGGGTGGTTTAAAAGTGATAACGTTTGTTGGATTTGGGTTAAGTGTGAATCAAGAATAGATTAGATCGAACTTAACTTAGTACTTAGCGCTATGATATAGTTTCCTAATATTGCTCGTGATCACGTAAGTGTAGAAAAATAGCAGAAGTGGATAGCAAAAAACGATGAATAAGATCTATTACGTGAATAGAATATTGTTTTACGCAAATTTTTAAATCTTTCTTCATCTTATATAATTTTTTAAAATTAAAAATTAAAAATTGTTTTGTTATGAGTTTATAAAATTTAAAATTACGAGTTGTATTTATAAGTTGATATAATTTGAAAGGTGTTTAAGGTGGATTTAAGTCGAACAAAACCCAGTTGCAACAGACTTGAAGTTGATCTAATTTAGAATATAATGGGGGAGTTAAGTATAGATTAGCGTGAATTAGTAAGGATTAGATTATATAAATTAGATGTAGCTTAAGATCGCCTAAATTTCAAACTAAACTAATAAAATTTTTACCCCATTAAATTTTATATTCTTAATCAAATTATATGCTTAATCAATCAAGCAGTTTCACAAGATTCAAGCGTTCAATTGTGTAATAACGTGTGACAATTTTTCGCCCGTAGGAAAAGTCATAAAATTAATTCGTATTTATTTTAAAACAAATGAATCGAGCGAAAAATTTTATTTCTGGTTTATTGGATTTGGCTTCAATGTTTCAGAAAGAT